TTGCTGTACTGTACACTGTAGAAGAATAGTATATAAAATGTCAAGACAACAATTTTTTTTACTAAGTTATTCAGGTTTTAACTACATTTGTAAAGTTATATAAAGTTTAACTAAACATTTTAGTCAGTTTGATTGATTTAAATTGTGATGACTAGAAAAATCCATTTGATTAAACTAAAAAAGATTAAGGCAGCAAGATTATTTACAGTGTATATTGTTCATTGTTGATGCATTTTTCAATCTAAACATTTTTCAAACAGCGAATTTTACATCCCTGACAGGTCCAGACATTTAGCATGCTAAATATTTCACAGGTATCGGCGACACATCAGCAATTCTCTCTGAGAATTTGGGCTGTTCTAATTCTAATAGAAGTCTAATAATAGTCCAGAATGAACCTCAAACAGATAGGAATGAATGACTACATATGTGAAGTCTGTCTGTCTATTTTGATGACTAATCTCATTTCATACTTTTGTTACATGTTTATTGGATTTTCCCAAATAATCATACCAATCCCAAATCCAAAATTTAGTCCATCACGTATAAATGTCTTTTAAACAAAATAAATTGCTTGGTGGCTACTGTACTTTTGAACAAATTGATTGAGATTCTAAACAATTTAAACTAGAGTTTTGACATTTCTTACCTCCACACATTTCTCAACACCTCTAGCCTAAAAACTGACATTTTCATAAGAATAGTTACCCAAGCTATACTTGCAATCATATACATTTAAGTAACTGGTTTCTAACATGTAAGATGTGATTTTATTCGGTTACACTTCTGCACAAAGCAGATTCATTCATGAGGGATTAATGGGGCATTCCAAGTTGTTTGGACATACGGAATGCTGCACATCATTAATTGTGCCAAAGTGCTTTAATCCCTTTGCCCATGCAGAGTCTGACGAGCACGAATGATTATTGGGAGAAAATGCTCCACAACATCTCTCAGGTAGTTTTAATCAACCAAGAAATAAAAATGGCCATATATATACAAAAAAGTGAATACTCTAAAAAAAGTTAAGTATTTATTATGATTTTCCCATAATAATGATTTAACCACAGTGTCTAATGGCCATTTTAATTTTTTTTCATCTCTGATACACCAATCAGAAAGGTGGATAATTTGAGGTTTGACTTTAATAAGCTGAAAACAACACTGAAGGAAATCCAGGAATGTGTCTGCCCACAGACCGGGTGCCTGGAGTAAGAATGAGTACATGTGACAAACTCCAGACTGTTCAGCTGACTAGAACACCCTACACACTCTCCAGCACTGTTCAGTGTGCCCTCACGCCTGACAACTCATTCCTCATTTAGACTGGACGCTAAGCGGCAGATCACCTTCCTCTGCAGGGGAGCAATCAGCTTGGGGCTAAAACTGCCCTGCCAAGGTCCACTGGTTGTGACAATGAACCAGTGTGCATGTGTGAGAGACTGATGTCACACTGAAAGCATTCAGATTCACCCCTCATGAATTAGAAACAATATTTGTTCAACTACAGCCAATGCTTCAGCTCTGCCATCTCCTGCTGAGAAGGGAATTCACAAGGATAGGCAAGTCCTAATCATTTGTGCCCTAGACTAAGAAGGTTCCAGCGGGTTTGGAGGAATAAACTCAGTAAAGCGTGTGAAAATTATGTTTCCACTCTGAGCTTGATGGAAAAACAAAAAGGATTTTCAGTGATTTGAGAAAAATCCTGTCTTTACTTGCTCACTCTCGTGTCATTTTCCGTGTTTAGTTTTTTTCTTTATTTAAAGTTGTGAATTGCACTATGAAACCTTGATCTCTGCTCTGTAGAAATTGAATGATGAAAATTCACTTGTAAAGTTTCACAAAGTGACTTTTATTGACATTATTTGTAGTTTGAATAACATAATGAATTAACAAATAATACACAAAGAAATGTTTGCAAAATGACCGAAAATGCTGTCAGTTTATTTTTTTTGTACTGTTAAATACAAAACCCAAACCAATAAATCACTTTAAATTATTTAAAATGTTAAGTTGAATGAAAGTCTCCTTTTTCAAGGTTAAAGTTTTTGTAAGAAAGATCAAGGTCCCGTAATACAATTCAAAAGCATAAATTAATAGGAGAGAAGTAACATGTTAAAATAACAGTACATAAATAACAACGTGTTAATATGTAAACTAAGCATGACTTTATTATGAACTAATGATGAGTTAATGCATGTGCTAATTATAAACTAACTAACTACAAAATGAGTCACAAGAGTTCACATGTTAATAACGGCCACCTTAACTACTTGTTAGTACATGATTGTTTGTTAATTAATGTATTAACTACCACATTAGTTTATGCTTATTTAACCATCATGAACTTGTGATATGTAAATATAGAATAATAACATGCCTTTACTTAGAGGGAAACATCATCATTAAGCTACTGTTAACTACTTATGAACTCCATGCATGCTAGTGCATTACACTGAATACAATAAAAAAAGTGTTCCATCAACATCAACAGTTTAAACAGAGGAGTTTATGAGTAGTTAAAGATGAGATAACGGTGATGTGCCCCTCCAATGAAAGTCATGGCATATTTATACATTAATAGCTCATGAGTTCATGTAGGCAACATTTAGCTTAAATTTAAATGTTAATTAATTTATGACATTATTATTAATGACATACTAACAGGTAATTAAGGTAGCCGTTATTAACACATAAATTATTGTGACTCATGTTAATTAAAAGTTAGTTCATGATTAGCACATGCATTAACTCATCATTAATTCATAATAAAGTTTACATATTAATGCATCATTATTTATATACTGTTATTGTAGGGTTACCAGAGAAAAAAACCTTGAATCACAAAATACAGAAAACATAATTAACATAACTTAAACATAATTTTTACAGTGCTCTTCATTATATTTTGTGTTCTGCAAGTGGAGAAATATACAGCAATGCACTGTCATTTAATACACAATGTAACACAGTTATATGAATTGTTAAGCCTAAAAAAAATACATATACTGTAGCTAACTCCATACTTAACTACTCAGTGCAAAGATATCAACAAACAAAGCATTTCGCTAAAATAAGAAAAATCCATACCCTAAACAAATCACACATATAATAGACTTACATGGTGTGTACCAAATATTTATTTTATCATTTAGCATGCAGTGTAAAATTGCCAAAATGTCTCCTTTTATATACATTCTCATCAATGTTAAACACAAACTCAACAGGTCCTTATATAGAGCGATTATAATGAATCGAATCAGTGCTTTTTCATTGTATTTAGTTACCTCATAGTATGGTGGTTTCAAGTATCAATTTCCTGACCAGTCCTCATCTATCTAAAACAGGTGTGAAAGTCAGAAAAAATACCTCAATCCATCTCTGTGCTTCTGAGTAAACAGTCTCATAGTCCACAGTAGACTGCGGTCGCCACTCCATCACCGGTCAACGTGTCTCCACCACAAACACGCGCGTAAAGTCGAGTCTATTTTTAAGTCTACCTGCCTTCGTTTACAATTAAAAGGTAGCAAGTATAACGTTTTTCTTACTCGAATGCCTGTATCAAAACTATCATTTTGTCGAAATTCAGCGAGCAAGTCTTATATAACAGTAACAAAGAACGCAGCGTAAAAACTTAAATCCCCTCTTGTTTTGCCAAGTACTGAGAAACTTTGTAGTTGTGTATTTTATACGCCCCCTAGTGCGTCAGGATACACACCTAAACTGCCGTCAGGTTACACTTCAGGCGCTGAGGGTAGAATCAAATTCCTTTAGGGACAGAAGAAAAATATGCCTTCGAGACCTCAATAAAGCAGTGGGGGGACACGTCTAAACTGTTAAATACAAGACAGTATTGGTTTAATATTTTTGTTTGGACGCAAAAAAAAAAAAAAAAAAAAAAAAAAAAAAAAACGTTCTGCTGCAATTGCATGCGATATTCTACCAGAAATGTTCATTATCTATCCCTGAAATAAGAACATATATACAACGAATAAAAAAAATCCCAACAATTTCTAAAGTAGACTGATGGTTGAGTTGTTCTGTAAAGGAATGTCACTCACTCGGTTCTCAGACTTTCTTTCTTTTTTAAAAAACACTTTAACATGTCTTTTTCCTTGACCTACAGCTTTAATACTTTTGTTTAGCTAAAAACAGTTATTTGGAAGAAACAAAGTTAAGACTTTATCATTCACATCAATTGATTTAAAAACATGAAAATATAAATAAATTCTACAAATAAACACTATTTTACAGTTGCCCTCATGTTTATGTCAGTCCTGTCACATTTGCATTCAATTTAACATAAACACTTGACAGTGGATGCATTCTATCATTGAATTGTATATTTGAAGCTTGTTTTCGGATAGTTTCTAGAAGACAAGATTAAAGTCAGGCCCTGACACATTTATTAAGTGAAAATGTATAGAATATCGCATAAACAACAATCATTCAGATGTATTTGACTGAACTGTATGACTAAGCAATCAGAATACAAATACTATTGGAATCACTGGACATGGGAGTTTTTTGTATCATAAACACAAGTAGTTTTAAACATTTTAATTGCTTTAAGAAGGAAAAACATAAGGATTTTAAAACAAAATATTAACACTTCTACTGCTTGTGTTTAGGGACTGAACCTATCATTCATCATACAACAGCAACAAGGTCCCAATTTGACTCTCATCTGGATTTTTTGTTATAATAGAGAAAGCTGTAAAAATGAAACATACTCATCAAAACGTTGGTAAAGGTGTAATACTGCTTTAAAAAGAGCATACGTTCTTGTAAATATGTAAAGACTGTATAAATCAGGATTTTTAATAAACTTTAAGCAAAATGAATAACACAAGATGAGCTTATTTAATCAACACTGAGTGCATTTTATATCATTTTGGAGAAATAAACAATAGTTTCAAGCAGTGTCAACAGTCAGATACAAAATTATTATTATTAGTACTTAAGTGTGTACATCTTTTGAAATAGGCTAATTTTTTTTATTTTGCATCAAATTTGTCTTGTAGTGGTCAAACTTTTAACAAACTTTAAAGGTTAGTCAAAACTGAAGTTATACTGTATAAACGCTAAACGTTTAAAGTATTCAGCACTTCTGAATGATTGGCAGTTTTTCTCTTAAATAACAAGGAGATTTATGCTTTAGAAAGAGCCACCACAGTGAAGCGAAGCTCCTGAGGATCACGGGCCATGAACTTCTTGCAGACCTCTGCAGAATCCTGTAGATCAGACAAAATGTGGATAAATGCACAGAACACGTTTAACAATGCCCACAAACTTGTCTATAGGGATGTCTTTAAAAAAAAACCTCACCTCAAGAAATGTGTCCTCTGTGGTCTTTCCATGAACAATTGGAAAAGGTTTGCGACCATCTAAAAGAAATGAAAAACAAACTTTTAATATGAGGCTTCACCGTTTCAATTAATGTAAAAAAAAGTATTTACATAAACTTTCAAATTCACCTACCCAGTTCATATAAATGCCCGTCAACATTTACGAAGGCAATAAAATGCAAATCCACTTTTTCATCTAAACCTGGAGCCTGTAAGTGTGAAAAAGGCAAATATATGAGTATGCTTAACATTTTCTACGATACTGGAATAGCAACCAACGCCTAAAAGCAGTTTCTTGGAGTAATAGAATTATACAAAATAAGGACTGATCATTTCTTTTTCACTGCAGCTTTTTAATAGATACTTACATACCAGACAACATTCATATGCAACATGCCATTCTGATACAAGAATTAGGTTTGTAAATAATAATTTATGAAAACTAACTAAAGTATGATCTTGTTACATCGGTTTTTGAAAAAAATGGTGACTTAAATGGTTTCAGTATGTCATTTTAACAAAATAAAACATAATTAGCATAAACTTTAAAATGTATGCAAATACGTATTGTTTTAAACAACAAATAGGGATGCACCAAAACACTTCTTACTGACCGGCTTGGTTTTAAGTCATGGTTTTGATATTGTTTTGTCAAACAAAAATCTCTACAAGCGAAATACATTACAATATGAAAACAATATAGCAAAGATAATTCTGAAATAAACAGTGATTTTCAGATTTTTTATGTACCTAACAGTAATTTTCAGTTAGATAAACTAAAAAATATAATCAAATAACATTGCAGACCATTTATAACCTTCAATATACAAACTAAAAGGTTAACCATAACAGTCAAGAACAGAGTGGTTTCATGATAGTTTGTTGTTTGATTAATATTAAAAACACAGGGCAGGAATAAGATTTTACTTGAAAGGGGCACCTATGATAAAAACCAACTTTTGGAAGCTATTTAGACAGAATTGTGTGTATATACAGTGCATCCACTGTCATATTTGGGTGAGAGAAAACACAGTAAGTCTCTTTTTAAAAACTTTTTTGATGTTAAAATAGTATTCAAATCCCTCCCATTTTGGGGCCCACCGCAGTGTGATATAGAAGTGTGGTTTTCCCTGCCCAGCAAATTGATTGACAGGTGCCATGTCTCCATAATAACATGCATACACATGGTGTCAGTAAACACGCATATGTACTGTATGCGTGTACTGCAAATGGCAGTTGAAATAAACTCTACCACAAACTCTACCTTCATCTGTGTTTGTCTCTGTCACTGTGCTGTTTATCTGGTGAAACGCATAAGAAGCAGACATGCACGTCAGAGTGGTGAGCTCATTTGGATTTAAAGCCACAGGCTACAAAAACAGCTACACTGACCTCAAACACCAAAACGGGCAGATTTTTCATTACATAATAAATTATCTGATGGGCATTTTGAACTGAAACTTTACAGACACATTCTAGAGACATCTTGTAAAAAGGGTAAAATAAGTGCCCTTTAAAACTCAGCAAAGATGCAGGACAATGAGAAAGTTAGACAACACAATTTGCTGGATGTTTCCATGCCAAGGCATAATTGACTGAAGGCTTGTCAAGCTGGACAGGTGGACATAATTATTGGTCATAACTGAGTTTTTCTGTTGAGAAGCAAAGATTAAGTAACTTTTTCATTCAGCTGTTAAGAGGAGGCACTTCTCAGATCACATGCTGACATAAGGGCTCACATCACTTTTAATTTTACGTGAAAGCGTCTACTACTTCAGTGCTCACTAATGTGACATGTTCTCAAGGGGAGCCTTGTTTCAGAGCATTGACATGTGTTGTAACATGCACAGAGCCAGTTTAGAGACTAATAAAAGGAATGGGGGTAATGCAAATTTCATTTGTACATTACTGCAAAACCGAAAAACCATAATATCCATATGCATACTGAACCATGGAATATTATGATCAATACTGTATCATCTCTACTAACAACCACACTTTTAGAAAATACAGACCTCTGTTTGTCCCTCCTGAGCACTTGATTCATGTGTTACTCGAATACTCTGAAATAATATTAGAAAAAGGATAGTTTAGTTTAATCCAGTTAAGTGCTTTCGATTTCTGCTGATAACAGTCAGATCTGGTTACTGATAACCTCAGTAAAAAAAGTGTAACAACCAGCTGCACACTGTTGCACTAAAATACCTAATTTCATCACCTCATCTTTTTCAAGGAAAGCTGCCTTTTCTTCTGGACTCATCTTTGCAGACTGGAGTAAAAATGTCTTAAGTGGTGAATTGAGCTCTGGAAAAAGTAAAACTTTATGAACATACTGCAAACAAGAATATTAATGCATAACAAGTGGCTATCTTTTTTTTAAAAGCAGGGAAAACATGCCTAAAAAAAAACAAAAATCAGCAATGATACCCACCAAACTCTAGATGATTTTGATTGTTTGCCACAGCATGAATGAGCCCTATTGTTCCACAAGCATTGCCGATGGTTTGTTTCATAAAGTACACATCTGAGGACACCTCTTGTCCTTGTCCTTTAATTTTTGCCTCTTCCTCCTGTCTAAAGGTTTCATACTACATTAAGGAAAAAAATATTTAATTTTAATTTCAAATCATCCAAGAAATTGCATTACAAGACTTTCATTCACGTAAATAAGGCAAGCATTTAGGCTGGTGCAAGAAATTAATGTTATGCTTTTTCTGACATTTTCATAAAGAGCATTTGAAATAATTGAGGCTTACGTGCATTGAATATGCTTTCTCTGTATATATTTCTTTGTAAATTGAGGAAACCAAAGTTTAAAGTTATCGGCTGCTGCTTTCGGATATTATACCAAAGTTGGCAACCCAGGAATGTTACAGATGGTAACAAAAAAGAAAAAATAATATATAACAAAAATAATAAATAACAAAACAAAAGGATAGCGGGAGATAGTGTGAAATACAGGAGACTCCCAGGAAAAAAAAGGAATGTTGGCAGGTTAGACAATCCCATTATTTTAATGTCAGACAAGTTAAAGTGATAGTTCACTTAAAAATTTAAATTCTTTAATTTTCTCACCCTTCACTTCATCTAAACCAGTTTACGATTCTTTCTTCTGCTGAACATAAAAAATTATTATTTTTTTTTTAAGAAAAGCAGCCATTGACTTCCATGGACTTTTTTCCTACTATGGATGTCAATGGGTACTGGCCATCTTTATTTGTGTTCAGCAGAAGAAAGAAACCTAAAGGTTTAAATCTTTTTAAAAAGGAGTAAATTTTCGTTTTTGGGTCATCAGCAGGCATGGGACGATAACAGTTTTCAAGGTATACTGCAGTTTGGAAAAGTCAAGGTTTCTACGTTCCTAAGGTACGTGTAAAATTTATTTACTTTTTTTTTGAGTAACAGTATCTCCAGTAGAAAAGATATTCAAAGATGCGTTTTAAATTGTAAAACAATCTGCGGTTTTGAACCACAGCAGGAGTTAATTTTGTGTTTTAATTATTTAGCCTGACATGTTTACTGTCTCAAAATATTTTAGGTGTTTCGCAAAATAAAATATATTGTGTTTGAAGGGTAAAAATTAGAGTTTTTTACTCAGACATTTAAAAAGGATATATGTTAGAGCAGTAATGACAATACAGTGAAACCGTGATATTTTTATTCAACGTCATCAAACCATCAGAATAGTATACCGGCCCATGCCTTGTGATCAGTATATGGTAGAATAACACTGATTTGCAGACACAACAATTTTTTTTCTCTTCAATCGTCATTTTAAAACAACATTTTAAAATTTGAAATCTAATAGAAACATTACCAGACCTTTATAAAATCTATGAAATCTGAGACATTTCTAGTGGTCTCTTAATGTATTATAATTTGCAAAATATAAATGTACAAAATTGGCTAATGCTACCATCAACCAGATTCAGCTGCTCCTCCATAATCTACAAAGAAGCATCTATAAATACAGAGCTTGTTTGCTGACATGAAGTCTATAGGGGTGTAAAGTGCAATTGTACCTTCTCTGTTATAGGGAAGAGCAAAAGTACAGCGCACACAGGCCTTGGCACCAAACTGAGAACTTCAAGCTCCAAGCCGTACACATCTCCAAACTGCCAGGTGGGTACCAAGCCAAGCTGCCGTAAAAACTTAACAAAAGTATAACACAACAAATACATATTAAACACAAGTCCTAACTCATAAGAGTAGTAATAGAGGCCGTTTACAGAGACAAGGGCCTGCTCAATCAAGAACCTTTTCCATTTAAACAGATTTATCATACATTAAAGTGGAATATAAATAATATTTTACAATAGTTAAAAAAACAATAACGCTACAAACAACATATTAAGCTCAGTAGTAGTGTTGATAAGCATAATAAATCAAAGTGGATGCCATTAGCTTTATCATAGCGTGCTTTAATAAACCTGATTCATTCATTTGGCACAAGTTTTGAATCCTAGACACACCCAGAGAGTCGAGACATCTACTCACTTGGTTCATAACCTGTAAAGCAGACACAGAACACAAAACAGTGTCATATAAAATAGGATGTCAAACACATGAGGTGCAGCTTACCGTTTCTGCTATAAGCTGCCAATGAAAAAACGAACGGATGAACGAAAAAAAACTGAATTCACGGCGAAAGACCGTGAGATTGAGGAGTAACTCTTACCTCTGGGTTTGCTTCCAGTGGTAACCAGCGCTGGCCCTCCATCTCAGATTAAGCTCTGCCTAAAATCCTAAATAAAAAGATGATTTTGCTACCTCGAGCAATGGTGTGCAGAGGCTTTGACAGCTGAGGAGGAAGCTCAATGGAATATGTGCGCGCGGGGCTGTGAACTCAGCCACTGACATAAAGACCGGCTAAAAACTTCAAAATAAAAGTCGTCGTTTAATAGTTTACAAGGTGATATTCTGATCATATTTTATTTCAAAGAACATTTTACTAATTCCAAACGGCATCATTCCTTAAAACGTACCATTACTATTTTAGTATATAATACATGTATAATGTGTTAATATAAAATTTAGATCAAAATATAGATTACACAACGGCAAGTTTCTTATAAACACCGTAATTGTGATTTGTAAAATATCAATAATATTACCTCTTTGAGTTATTTTGAGTTATGTAGTTATTTTATCATTGCGAAATATATATATATATATATATATATATATATATATAACGTTGCATCCAAGCTGCATATAATAAAAAATATAGTACACAGTAATAACAGCAGCATAAAAAACCTTAAATCAAACCATTGCAAATTAAAATACATTCAGGGGGTAAATCCATATAACTGACAAAAGTTTAGAGAACTTTGAGGCACTTTTGGTTTTTGCCTGTTTTATGACTTTAAATAAATTTTTTAAATATTTTTTAAATTCTATGAAAAGGAGAGAAGCTTGAACAAATCTAAATTGGTGTGTATAAAACTTTGCTACAATATTTGTTGGCGATTTAACGTTCTCTGTGCTCTTACTGTCTCGTGTGCGTTACTGACTTAGTCCGGTGGGTGGCGATACTCAACTGTTCATTTCTGTCCACTACTTTGTTAATCACAAGAGAAGAAAATTTTTGAAGTGTTCGCGGCATTGTTTGGTTTTAAATATGTACAAACTGATTTAATGTTACGCTCAGTAATGTTAGTTGCTGTCAGGATAGACGCGTTGTAACATGTATAAAGACAAATATAATCAAAAATCAGGTTTGTAAATATTCTTATTAACGGCGAGTAGTCCAAATTAAGATTATTAATGATAACGGCAGTTTCTTTTTTACAGCTCTAAGCGATAAAACGCTGACAATGGGATCTAAAGAGAAGGAAAACACAAGAATGGGCAAACAAACGGCATCTGTGTACGCTGCCAAGATAAAGACGAAAATACACAGTAAGAAATTACTTAACGTTGAACAGATCAAACGGTCGTTCATGGTCTTATTTTAACGAGCTGATTCGTGACAGTAACTTGACTTTCATTGTCTGTCAGATACCTCGTCATTCTTCAAGCTCTCTTTGAAAAGCAATAACAAAGCTCTGGCCTTGGCTCTGGTTGCTCAGAAGCAGAGGAGCAGAGAACTGGAGGCAGAGGTGGTGAGGCTGAGGAAAGATGCACAGGCAACTCATTTTGATCTTGCTTTTCAGCGTCATAAAAACAAACAACTGGTGAGTCTGTTAGAGAGTGAAGTCCTGGTCTGTTATATGCCATTTATTCTTGCTACAGTTTAACTTGTACCTCATGCTTAATCTATCCTGACACCTCTATCAAAACATAAGACAGAAATTTCATAGCAGTTAATAAAGATCCATCTAATTTACTTAAAAAAACTTATTTATTAAAATGTATGCATTTCCAGTTTGCTGTTATAAAAGAGTTTTATGACTCCTCCCTGAACTCGATGTCAAAGGCCGTTGACATTTTTTGTAATGATGAGGTAAGTAGTTGATATATTTTTCAAATAGTTTACCTTTGTGAGACTTGTTGTTCTAATAGTATTGTCCATATTACCAGTACTTTTTCAGCCAAGCTTTGTAAGTTGTTCGCAATAGCTAACTGTTAAATAGTCACATTGTTATAAACAACTAATTTGGTTATTAATGATGTGAATAATGTTCTTTTTTGTAAAGGTTCCAGACAGTGTTGACACTGAAGACAACACCAGTGAGGGTATGAGAAAATACTGTTGGCTATTTATCGTGTATAAGGTTCCTTAACCCTTTAACTGCCCCACCAAGAAAAAAACATTTTGCATTTCTCATCTCCTAATGTCATTAGTTAACACACTCAATGCATTTTTTTTCAACACATCCCATAATTTATAAAATATCTACCTCTACCAATTTTATGGTAAAAGTACCAGAATTATACATAATATGAAATATATAAAGTGTAACCAATTTATTTAATAATATATTCAATATAAAAAATGAATACTAAATCATCTTTATTTTTTGAAGTATGCCATAAAATTTTTCAGATTATCATTTAACATGATTTCTTTTTCTTTTCTTTTCTTTTTTTTTTTTACAATAAAACTATAATCAAGTGTAGTGGTGCAAAGGGATTATGTTTGTTAGATTTTTTTGTAAACCAACAATGCTGTGTGTTACATTAGTTAAAACAGTCATTCTTTAAATAAATGTAACAGTGATTATTTAAAACAGTCAAAATTTGGTCATCCGTTTGGGAGAGCAAACAGTTAAAGTGTGATAGATAATTGACGCTTACTGACATATGCTGACCAAGGGCAGCAGAGACCTCATCAGGTTTTGTCAGATTAATGTTGGCTTTGGTTAGTGCCTGCTTTTGCCAGCTAAACATGCACACGTTGTTTTGCTGTGTTTTGCAATGTCTGAGAAATTACACATTGTAATCCTGTGTTGGTCAGTGTGTGGTGGTGCCGTGTGAATTGGCCTTTTTTTAAGTGTGGGTGATTGATATTATATCATCCTAATTTATGTAAACCAATGTTATGCACCTTTTAGATTACAGATAACACATTAAAAGTTTATGTGATTTTAATAATCTTGGTTTGCTTTTTGTCTGTTTTTTTTTTTAGGTCAGAATTTTGAAATGGAGAAAGAGGTTGAACGAGAGCCAAATAGACTAACATTGTGTCCACAACATCATAATAATGTTGAGTCTGAATCAGTGAATACTGCTATGGTCAAAGGAGCTACAGATAGTGATGCTCCCAACCAAAAGGAAGACAATTTAGCACTTCAAAACACCATAAATGACTCTAGAATGGATATTACCATGAGTGACAATCCTTCTGAAATTCTGACAGTGGAAACAAACGCAGGAACCTCTAGAGTTACAGATGAACATCAGATAAAGGAGAATGTGTGTCTGTCTGAAAAAGGTAGTGATGGTGTATCTGGAGTGGAAGACTCGCTAATTCAATTTTCATCAGATTATTCAATAGCTGTGCCAAAAGATATGACCACTGTGACACAGCAGTGCTCTACCACTGTTCAGAATGGCCAGGAAACAGAATTACTATCCGCTCGCAGGAAAACTCATATCACCTCTCGTTCTAAAAGGCGCACCTGTAAACCGAAAGAACCTAACCAAGATCTAAGAAAAACATATACAGTCTCCAAAGATCCTCCTAGTAATATTTTAAACGATTGTGGTAATGATCTTGAGCTTGAGAATTCTGAACCTTCGAGTAAAACGGTAAAAAACAAAGAAAAAGAGACTAATGACACCCATGAACCAAGAAGAACATTTGTAGTTCACGATGGGTTAAAATCTGAGAAGAGCAGGAGGACCAAAGTCTCAAAACCTATGATGGATCTCAGTTCATTGTTTGTGGATGAAAATGTGGAGTCTGCCATTAGTGTATGCTCAGAAGATCCAGGTACTGATAAGCATCTCAGTGAAGTCAAAACACACACAAATAAAACTCCAGCGCACCTGCTTTCTCAGTTTGAAAAGAACAATACACAGAAAAAGAGAGGAACTTATGTGATACAAACAAGTCACTCAATCAACAGGAGTTCAGCATTGACAGATTGCAATATATTTGATGATTCTAACAAAGCAAAAGGTTTACTGGAAGTAGTAGAAACCCAAACATCACCTCTAAATATTGGTTTAGATGTCACCGCACAACATTACAAGAAGCCAGAGCCTGTTTCTCATGACGGATCAAAGAAAAAAGCTTACAACAGGGAACATTTACAGGATTTGCAAATCGGTCTTGTAGAGGAAACCTCTGAATTTACATCAGTGCCGGGTAAAGCTAAGAAGCCTAGGAAAGAGGGAGCAGATAGAATTAAAGATCGGAATGTTCCAACAAAAGAAAAATCCAATTCATTAACAAAGAAACCAAAAAAATGTCCTGTGAATGTGGATGAAAATGTGTCCACCAGAAGTCCAGATGTGATTAGTCTTCAGAAAGCAGCTGAATGCAGGCCTTTGTCTAATGTTTTACTACCACCATGGAAATCTCATTGCTTAGCCGCAGAGGAGGATCTCCTAGATAATCACCATGCAGAAATGCCTGAAATAAGCTCTCCTTCATCTGTTGGCAAGGCTGATCAGACTGGCCATATCAACATGGATGTTCCTTACATAAGTCTGAATCAAACTAACCAAGAACAAGAGAGCAGATTCAGGAAAATGTATATGACTTCATCTTCTGACAATACGGCCTGTGAAGAAATGGCTGATGCTGCGTTTTCCATTTTTGAACAGGATCATCTCTCTAATAAAACAGATGTTTCTTCTGTAAAGAGCACTAGTCCATTTACCATGGATAAATATAATATGACTTTAGGCTGTTTTAGTGAGGACCTTCAGTTCACAGAAGAGAGACCTCCTTGGGAGGCCATTGAGGATTGCAGTGTGATGCTCTCAGATGAAAGCTGTGCTCACAGCCCTCAACCACAGACTAGAGTTCAGACTATCAACATTTATGAGGACCAGGACTCAAGCTTTAAGACTCAATTACCAGGTAAGTCTTATATGTTATTCTTTGATCGTTTAATACCTGGTTTGTTTGGAACACTTGCTTCAAAATTGAAAACAACCTTTTCTCTGTTAGTTTGGTTCATTTGGTCATAGGCAAACACTGAAATTTCGCTCAAGTTCACCTCAAAACAGTCACTCTTTAGCACATTAGTTATAATAGTTGAAAACCAAAGAGCACCTTTTTGTCTGAATATTATGTAATTGCTCTTGCTTAGATTGCAAGAATTCTCTTGCAATGCAGCAGTTAATTCGTGAACGAACAACCATATCTGTGTGTTCTAATGACAGGTAAAGATAAAGCCAGAATAAGCCATATGAACAAAATCATTCCTCATTCATGTTACTGAATGTGACAGAGGCATGCAGAGCAGTGCACTCACAAACAAGGGGACAATTTTACTCACATATGACATTTGAGTTTTGGTGGGCTTTTACATGTTAAAAAAGCTAAATTAATCAAAATAAATGGGAGCACTGTAACTTTAAACCCATGCTTTAAAGCAAATCAACATAAATAAGCATACATTTCTAAACCGCTGGGATTTTACTTCATATGTTACATCTATGTCAGTAGTTTACATCAGTAGATTGCAATTTAAATACGAATGTAATCGGGAAAAACTGTATATCGCTGAAAAGTTCCTAAATAGAAATCTTTTCACTTCTTCTTATTTTTGTTATTGTATATTTTTTATTGTAATTTAGGAAGAGTAAAAGATTTAAAGCTGGTAGAAACCTTTGTTATTTTCCATGGCTTGAGAATATATTTATTTCATACTGTGAAATTATGAAAAAATATGGTTTGTAAACTCAAGCTATTTTAAAGAAATAAAAAAAGATAAGGGGTGCCCTTGTATGGCCACCAACAAAGCTTGGATATCATCTTGCTGGCATCTATGGTACTTTTGATTTTCTGTCTGGTTTAGAGTAAAAACATACACTAATACTTTTTTCACATACTTTTTTTAATGATGAAAGTGATTCTTTTCATCAAGGCAGCATTTATAAAATGTAAAGAAAGGTAAATATTTATTAACATTTTAAATAACTGCTTTCTTATTGTATGTAGTTTTAAATGAAATCATTTCTACAGTCATTATTGCTTTTATTACTATTACCATTAATAATAATTATTATTATTAGAGTGATTTGTGAAGGATCATGCGAGTCTGAAGACTGAAGTAATGAAGCTGAAAATTCATCTTGAAAATCACTGAAATGATTAAATTAAACGATAAACTACTTTTGAGCAGGTATTTTATAGAGCAATAACTTTTTACAATTTGTACTGTATTTTTGATTAAATAAACGCAGCCTTGGTGAGCAGGAGAAGCTTATTTTAAAACATTTAAGAATCCTACTCACCTTAAACATTTGATTGGTTGTGTAAGTGATGAATACTAAAAAAACACTGCATTGAGAGCACAGGGATGAAAAGGGATGTTTTAGGAACTGAACATTTTCTATTTTTAATACAGATGCATAATCTTTTCACTTTTAAACTTCATCATTCTGATGTGGTTTTTGATGATAATTTTTTTAATATATATTTTTTTGTTTATACCTCAAACAGAAGAAGGAAGGGTAATGAAGAGTCTAACAAACACAGTTAATGCTGATTTAGGGAGACCGCGAAGACGAGCAACACCAGTCACCTACAAAGAGCCAAAAATCAACTGGTGAGTCGTCCTTCAATAGAACAGTATCAAAAAGTATAATATTTTTCATCCTTGATGCAGAATAATCATTTTTGTTAATTATTTATTTGTTTTTGCAGCAAAATGAGGCGAGGGGACAAGTACACTGATACACAATTCTTAAACTCTCCAGTGTTCAAAGATAAAAAGAAGAAAAAGAAGAAACTCATTTCGGAGTGATAAACCCCCCTGTCCCCATGACATGTTTTTTTTTTTAAGTTTGTCTTTTTATGTAATGAAAATGTTTAATAGTTTGATTTTAAAGTATTTTACCTGCAGCTGGTAATATTGCATTGGATCTCAGCTTTCCTTTTTTTGTGTATTTAGGAAACATTGTTTGAATTTTACATATTTATTTTAGTGTTTAATAAAGAGAATCTGCTCTATGTGTAGTTTAACATTGATTCTACGTTGTAGCTGTGCTACATTCCTGCTAATCGTATAAAAGTCAGTTGTGTTCAGGACCCTTTACAGCAGCTTTCATATACATGCTATTGAGCAGTTGTATCTGTGTGTTATGTAACCAAACACTGGCCGACAGCGTTAAAGTGATTGAAGGACTGAATTAATAATTTAGAGGACTGTTCACATGAGATGACTACAGTTCTGAGATCAAGTAGGAGTGTCTGTTCTACCAGTTTATGCTGTCTGAAAGCAGCCCGAACCCTCTCATGCGTAGTTCTCTTATTGTGCCAGAATCTGTGCTAGAATTTTAGGTAAGTCATCTTTGTATACAACTATGTGTATTTAGTATTCATGAGGCAGGTTGGTTTTCTGTTTGTACAGGTGAAGTGTGTTTTTGCATCAAGGTTAAAGTCGATGGATTATATTAAACTGTGGTCTTTTCTATACAGCATAAGTTCTTTTTAAAATGTATTCAGTGTTTGTAGAGCTTGTTTTTGTCATGCTTTAGGTGTTGGGTAATCTAACCCTTGTTTGTTTTATACCCTGTCAAATGTTCATCTAACTTTTCCTGTTAATAGGAAACAACTGAGCTTGGAGTTTTCTTCATGTGTTTAGTGTTGCCCCTGGCAAAGGATTAACCACTAAGGTGAACTTGTTAAACTTGTTTTATTTGCAATGTCCATTTCATATTCTCAGCAATCATTTTATAAGTGGATTTAAATTATTGTTTCAGACTGAGTTTAAATAAACACCTTCTTATTAATAAGTGTCTCAGCGAGAGTCTGAAATATGGAAGCCAAGCGAGTCAAGAGGGATGTTAAAACCTTGCTGTAAGTAGCCTAAAATGCATTGAGTTGAATCTAGATTAGTGAAATAGTTATTTTGTGAGGGCTTGTCTTTAAAATAATGTTTAAAACTTGTAACGACTACAGAAAGATATGTCTCCTAAACTCTTTTAGTGGTGAATATATTGGACGACGATTCAGAGAAGATAGTTTTGATCCAAAGGGGAAAAGCACTTCTACTATGTTGGATGATTTGGTAATTGATCCACATTAAAGGACCAGTACAATCTCTATGACTAGAACTTTTATTTATTTTATTTTTTTAAATGTTAAAATGTTATACAACGTCACAATAGAACATGTATGTATTGCTGATCATGTTCAGAATGAAACTTGTCTGATTAATTTAGGCACATTATGACTTGGCTATAAGTGTGGCTTTGTGGAGGCTCAATAAAGATGAAGGATTGAATACAGCTGATAATGATATGTGAGTAGAATACATTCTAATAGAAGACAGTCACTTTCGTTTACATAACTACTATACACCAGCATGATCAATTATTTATCCAAAGAAGATGTACCTTTAATGTACACAACTGATTAAAAAAAAACTTCACACAGAATTCTGGGAAGTCAGTTTATGGTTGTTCACCGTTTTTATTAATAAAAACTTTTAACCAAGTTACAGATTTTTTTAATGTATAATTTTTAAAGATTTTTTTTTTTACCACAGACATTTTATGGTGTATGTATGCAGTGCTTTTACAAATATTTGTGCCTCATTTGCCCATGAACTGTACTTGTAGAGGAAGTGCCAGTTTAGGACACTTTAGCCAGTATCCCAATCGCTTGGAAAGAGAAGCAATGATTCTTTCTTCCTTTGCTGGAATGCTTCTGGTAAGGTCAATAATAAGGGTAAAGAACCTGTTGCAATTTCTTTTGGTTTTTAACCAGGTTTCACCTCATTTTCAGAACAACTTACCATTAGAAGATATTCTGTTTCTGTACAATTGCAAACCATCTGCATCTTACCCTCATAATGATGCCAAGGTATGACATTTATCGTAGTTAATTTGAGCAAATGTTGGATGACAATTGGACCAATTAATATTCAATATGGAAAAAAGTCAAACCTGTGTTTAATAAATAAAATTTGTGAAAGCTGATTCATTTATGCATTAAATCAAAATGAACAAATAATTCAGTTAATTAACAACTAAGTTACTTTAAAAATTAAGTTAATTATCTATAATTATCTGTAAAAAGGAAATAACCACACAGCCTTTTCCTTAACAGGGCAACATCGTGCACCCGTTTTCCCTCTCTTATCATCCATTCGCCATGCTTAGTTCATTCAAAGCAGTGGACTGCTCAAAAAAAACACAGTATGTGACATTTTATATGAACCAAAATTCATAATATGGAAGCAATACTGATGAAAATATAGAGCGAACAAATGCTTTCTTTTTTCATCATTTTGTTTTGTTACCAGTCCAAGCTCTGAAACGCTGGATCAAGGAACAGGATAAGCAGCAGGTCTCTCCGGTGTCAGAAACATCGAAGTCCTCCTCCAGGTCCTCTTCAAGCTCCTCATTCAGTGTGAGTGTCAGTCAGTTGAGCCCTAATGCTTCCATTGAAAGCATTGAGAGCGTACTCATTGAAAAGTTGATAACTACTGCCATCAAGTGCTCAAACTGTGTACTGTAACTGTTGTACCTGTTTTGTCAAATACAGGACAGTGAAGAATCTTTAAAAGATGCAACTGCTCACTATGAAGGCTCACAAGAATCTCTGCAGGATTGAAAACAACAGCATGGTTTATTAAACACGCAGTCTTTACACATTTAAAGGGATAGTTCACCTCAACTTAAACTTTGAGTTTCTTTCTGCTGTTGAACACCAAAGTAGTTATTTTGAAAAATGCTGGTAGCTGGCACCCATTAAAGTCCACATAAACCGGAAGCTGCAATTGCTTTTATAAAAAAAAAAAAAAAAAAATATATATATATATATATATATATATATATATATATATATATATATATATATATATATATATGTATATATATATGTATTATTAAATAAGAAAATTAAATGAGCGTGGCTTGTTTTTATTCTACTGGGATCTGAATAGATGTACAGTAGTTAAGTAGGTGTTTCGTTCAAATGGGTTTTAGAAGAGGTATGACAACAACAAACACCTCCTCACCATTTCTGTTTGTCGTCAAAACTGACAACTGACTGTTGGAGGGGTGTGGTTACAGTATGTTAATAATGCCCAATACCTTAAACATTTTTCTTAATGACACGTTCAGATAAATTGTTTTACCACAAAACTATGTGAGCTAACAAACTCAATATGGCTAATTTTGATTTCATTTGTATTTTATAGTGTTTGTATAGTACAATATTAAAAGTGTGTCCACTTTCACTGATATAAACCCAACAAATCTTTTTTTTTTATAATTTCCTGAATTTAAATTAGCACTCAAATCCCATTGATTTTGAGGCCCACCGCAATGTGACATAGAAGTGCAGTTTTCCTACCGACCAAATTGATTGACAGGCACCATGTTTCTATAATAACATACACGCGTCCACAGAACTTTTTTTTTTTTTCGCAAATAAACGGATTAAAATATGTTACTACTCTCTGTGCTTTTTATAGTTTAAAACCTGTTTAAAACAGAGCATGTTTGTAATAAAGACAGTAAAATTGCTATCTAATTCTTAACCACTATAATCACCACGGCCACATGGTGTCAGTAAACGCTAATATGTGTGTTTGTGTGTACTCCAAACAGCATTTGTGTGAGACTCATCATTTCAGAAAGGCTTGAATAAACTTCACCACAAATACATGAAATTAACTTGCTTGGTATTTTTGACTAATGAGCTGTATTTCAGCTTCCGTGTCTCTGTCACTGTGCTGTTTATCTGACGTAATACATGATGAGATACACGCATGCATGAACTGTATATCAAAGTAATCATTTTGATCCCCCATGTACATATGTTACTTCTCTTCCGCCTTTAAAATATCAAATGTTGATATTTTAATAGTAAATATACAACAAGCTTATTTACAAAGAATTTAAACTCATTATTATGCATGGGTGATTATGTTATCATTGTAAGGATCCAAAATATCAGACCCTCAGAACTATTGTGGAATTTCATTAGACAAGAGAAGTGATGAAGAAACCAGCTGTTTAACTGTTCTATTCAAATCACTGTTGACAATGCAAACACAGGCTGGAGAAACAGAGCTACATTACAGCAGTGGGTGATGCGAAGAAGTCACCCTTCTCCTTCCACCTAAGCCCCCCTTCTTGACCCTTATGTTACCTTCTGATTAGAGCACATTTCACATAAAATGTTCAAGGTTTTAATATGGTGTATCTTGTAGCACTATATTCATGTTTGGTATCATTTTAAATGTCTCTGTGTGATTGGTAAAGTGGTCTTAATTTTACAGTATTATTTCACTGGTTTATGTTGATTTGGTTTTTGACTTCTATAAGATCTTGATAAGATGCTCTCCCTCCTCAGAGATGGTTAAGTCCTCAAATTCACCAGGCCAGGGTTTCTGTGACACTTCTATTGTTAGAATTTATGGCTGTTTGTTTTGACTTGAGTATATAAGGTAAGATGTGCTTTAAGACAGGGGGAGATCTTGTAAAAAGACACCCCATTGCAGCATCTCTGAGACTTATGCTGCAATGTATTTCTCTGGTCAGGTATGCATCTCTTAACTCTTTGATTTATCTTTGATTAATGGATGTTGTATTGTTACAGTCTCATCTCTGAATTGGCTTCCTGATGATTTATTATGTAATTGGCATAATACAATTTTACCTGACAAATAAAATATTAAGTTTTGATTAATTCTGGAGTTTTGCGAATTCATTGTATACAGTAGATTAGAGGAGTCTTCATTACCTTTATAGTATGGCATAATTGAATTGATTAATAGGCACATTTGATTATTGTTAGCCATTGCATGCCGATAACATGTAGACCTTTTAGTCATTCAACCACTGGAAGTAGCAAGTTGTATGGGCTTGGCTAAGGATCTGTTTTTTAAGACTAGGTAAGCATAAATGTGACCAGCTTCTTCAAATATGATTAATCCTGCTTCCTCTGACTATTTTCAGAGTGCCGACATATTGTCCGTGAGAAGAAGCGCAAACCCGGGGCGTGAAACTCTGAGCGACATAGGTCCCTAATGAACGTACAATTAGAATATCGAACCTCAGAAAATATCAAAACTCTAAATTAAATCATAAATGATGAATGTGATCCGTTCTTACAATTAGAAATACAATCTAAATTTTAGGATCATTTAAATTGGAGTCAGATTGAATTCGGAGCTAAAAAACTAATATAAATAAATTCTAATAAATAATAAAATTATTTTCAGAAGCACTAGAAAAGGCTTACAGGCATTAAACCTTCGACCATGCTGTTAGTTTTGTCATTGGGCTAATAGATGGACTCCTACATCATCTAGGAGTTGTTGAACCTTTAGTAGAGGTTAAGGCTTTTACTTTTTATCTTAAATGTCCTGTAGCACCCAAGGTTAAGGAAACTCATTACATAATTTTATTTAGGAAATATCATGTGAATGAGTTTCTTCAACAAAGATTTAACTTCGATGCTGACGAGTGTAGCTTTTGTTCAAATCTTCCAGAAACACTTGATCACTTATTTTTTCTTGTGAATTTACTTCTAAATTCTGGTTTGACTTCTACATTTGGCTTACAGTAAAGATGATTTCAGTCCCTTGTATTGTTCTAGAAGATATTTTATTTTATGAGTGTGATTTACATTTTTCTTTTTCTGATGTTGTGAACTTTATTTTAGTAATGGGTAAATATCATATTCATTGTTGTAAATGAAAAAATGCAGGCCCTCTTTTACATGTTTTCTTTCTGAGGTAGGGCAAGTTGCTTAAGGCTTCAAATACTTCAGAAACCAAAATAAAATAACTGACTTGTACTTCATTTTCAGAATATTTATTGTAATTTTTTTCCTTTGATGTAGGTCTTTTGTATTGCTTCTTGTTGCTGTTGCAGGTGTAATAATTGCAATTTTTTTTATTTATTTTAATAGTAAACATGCCTTGAGATGTTGATTTTTCCCTGTTTCGTGATGTAAACTTTGTGCAACAATAAAATTTAAAAAAGGCACGCGGGAACTGTGGGTGGACAGTACCAACTCATTTCTATTTAAAGCCACAGGCTACAAAAACAGCTACAATGTATTCAGACACCAAAATGGGCAGATTCTGGAGGCTATAATAAATTATCTGAGGGGTATTTTGAGTTGAAACTTTACAGACACATTCTGAAGACACCAAATGGGTAAAATAGGAAGCTTCATTGCATTTTTTTTTACTACAGAAGCCAATGTTTTCCAGCAACCAGTATTCTTTAAAATATCCTATTTTGTGTTCAAGAGAAGAAAGAAGCTTATAAAGGTTTAAAAAGCATGATGGTGGGTAAATAAGGTAGTTTTACTCTTTGGTGCGTGAATCCACTGGCGTTAGTTTTATTATTTGTATAATGTTAACAATTATCAATAAAGCTGATGAAATACTATTTCAAATACATTATAAATAGTTATGGATGTGTTGATGCATTTTTATTGAGACCAATAATTTCATTGTGTAAAGCAATTCATTACACTCTGGATCAAAACAGAGGAGGGTAACTGAGGTCAGTTATTTGCCAGCTAGGAATTTTGATTTGATGAATCAGGGCTTTTACATCTATGGTTGGGATTAGAAGGTTGGCAGCGGCATCAGAGTGCCAAATCCCAGTCACTGAGAGGACAAATAAAGTTAGGTCCACCATGCTAATGGACATTTATAAAGCAGACCTCCTGCCCTAATTTGTTTGACTGTTTCTCTTGTTTACCACTTCTGAGACTCACATCAAAATGAGTAAGGTAAATGAAACTGATGAAGATGATAACTTTGTGTCTTGTAATTCTAAAGGAAATTTAGTTAGTTTTTGACTTTTTTACAATTGTATAAACAAACACATTACATTTGTCTGTACTGCTGTTATCAGTGACATCGCTCACTCACAGATTATCTTTTATGAGGAGAAAAACTTCCAGGGTTGCTCCTTTAAATGTGACTGCCCAGACATGAAACCTCATTTCATCCGATGCAACTCTGCCAGGGTGGAGATCGGCTGCTGGGTCTTGTATGAAAGGCCCAACTACTCTGGACACCAGTATGTGCTAACCAAAGAAGAATATCCTGAGTATCACTCTTGGATGGGCTACAATGACACTATTTGCTCATGCCGTAATTTGTTCTGTGAGTGATATGCCTGTAAAGCTTTCATAATATATTTAGTCAGTTCTTGTATATGATTCGTTGCCTTTAATATTTTGTTCCATCTTTGATGTTTATTGTTCTGCCACAAATAATTTTGTACGCATGTTTAAACATTCAAACTGTATGTTTGGGTGTTCAAACCTGGTTTTGAAGGGCCGCTGTGAGTTTAGCTCCAGCCTTATTAAACACACTAAGTTAATTAGAGTCTCCAAGTTCATTAGAAATTACCAGGCAGAGATGTGTTTGAGACAAAGTCTGTGAAACATCAGGCCTCCAGCACCAGGACTGTACACCCTATACTTTACAAACTTTGAATTTAAAGCTCAACTGTTTTTCAGAATAGTGAAGGACCTCACTGAATCCATATATACGATCGGCCAGATTTCCAAGGTCAGATGATGGAATTCAATGATGACTGCGAATCCATTCATCAAAGTTTCCATTGTCACAGCATTCACTCTTGCAATGTCATGGAGGGCCACTGGACCTTCTATGAACACTCTGGCTTTCTAGGTTGTCAGTATTTCATGGCTCCTGGTGAATATCACAAGTTTGTAAACTGGGGTGCCACATGTGCCACAATTGGCTCCTTCCGCAGAATCACTGATTTTGAAAGCTCCAATAACTGTGCCTTTTCAGCATTGATTTGTCATTAAATTGTCACAAAACTAAAGTCTTTGCAGTGTATCTATTCATTTTCTCAGTGCTTGTTCACACTTAAGCAGCTGTCCATAATCCAGCATACAGATTTTAGGCAAAATTATATATATATATATATATATATATATATATATATATATATATATATATATATATATATATATATATATATATATATATATATTTATATTTATATTTATGTATATATATATTGATATTTATATATATATATATTTTTAAATTAATGTTCCATTATGTTTGAAATTTAATTGACATACATTTTAAATATTTAAATATTTTTTTGAGAAATGTATGACACTATTTCTTGTACTTTTGCTGGAGTCAAGCAGTTTACAGTATATGAAATTAAGAGAGTTAAGATTCCTTTTGATTAAGAACCATCCTACACCAGACAAATTAGTCATTTTGCCAATCCACTTAAGTTCAGTGTCATTTCCAACTTCCAGTCCATTTCCAGATCAAAATTATCTATAAAAGGCAAAAGCCAACAACAATTCAATAATTAGATTTTTATCCATACCAAAATATCATGCTCCAATATCATGCTCCGACAACAATCTTTTATCATTGCCATTCACCTACTTTTAATGCAGATTTCACAATATGACATTTAAAATTGCTGGATGGAAATGCTGCAAATGCACAAAAACTTGACTTTATTTAGAGGATATGCTCATAAACTATAATAATAATCATTCACTGAATACTGCTTGGGAGATGCAGTGGGTAACATGTTCGCCTCAAAGCAAGAAGGTTGTTGGTTCAAGCTTTGGCTGGGTCAGTTGGCAGTTCTGTGTGGAGTTTTTTATGTTCTCCCTTTGTTCACATGGGTTTCCTCCTCATATTAATGAAGGGACTAAGCCGAAAAGAAAATGAATGAATGAATTCATTTAATCACAAATAATGGGATTAAATAAATGGACTAACCAACACACAATTTCATAGCCCAAATCTTTGGACAAGATACAACTATATGTATATCTGAAATCTGGCAGTATTAAGAAAAATTGCATTTAAAGTTTCTTAACATAGTTTCACTAAAGTTAACCCACATTCTTCATTTATTAATTTTTTTTTTTTCTCGGCGTAGTCCCTTTATTAATCCAGGGTCCCCACAGCGGAATGAACCGCCAACTTATCCAGCACGTTTTTACGCAGCGGATGCCCTTCCAGCCGCAACCCATCTCTGGGAAAGATCCACACACACTCATTCACACTCATACACTACAGACAATTTAGCCTACCCAATTCACCTATACCACATGTCTTGGGACTGTGGGGGAAACCAGAGCACCAGGAGGAAACCCAAGCAAACGCAGGGAGAACATGCAAACTCCACACTGTTAACAATTTCCAGTAGAATCTACAGTAACTTACTGGCAACAAAGATACCATATTTACAATTACAGCATAATTTACATTGCTGTATTTGCATTTGCAGTATTGTGCATCTTTAATTTAAAATATACAGGAATTTTCACAGTGCAACTTTAAAATACAGTAACATACTGCACAACAGTTAAATACAGTTCAAATTACAGATAAATACTATGGAATTTACAAAAATGAACAGTGCAAGAACAAAACTTTTCAGTTTAAATTAAATGTTCTTATTCAAACAATCTGTTGATGTGTAATACTAAATGCAGGCTAACACTGATGTGTTGTTTCCCCAGACCTTTCCAGCAGCTTTCAACAGAGCTGGCTTTGCTGGAAAAATCTAATGTTACATAGGCAATCAAAGTGATTGTGCAGGCTAAAACACACAGTCAGGTTTGCTATATTCAAGTACAGTTTCTGCTGACATGAGTACATGGTGATTTAAATGACAACACAACAGTAGCACCATTATCTTCTCGGATATATATTTATAGTTCCAGCAGTATTTGGCACTTGAACAGGAAAAAAACTTCAAAGATCCTTCAAACATGGGAAAGGTTTGTAAAAACTAGTTAGATATTAATCATGAGTTGTTATAGTGGTGTTGACTTTATCTAATGGCTATGTGTTTTTACCATTGCTATAGATTATCTTTTATGAAGATAGGAACTTCGGTGGCCGTTACCATGAGTGCATGAGTGACTGCGCTGACCTGCATTCCTACTTCAACCGCTGCCACTCTATCAGAGTGGAAAGCGGTTGCTTCATGGTCTACGACCGCACCAACTTTATGGGCCGTCAGTACTTTTTGAGACGTGGCGAATACCCTGATTACATGCGTACTATGGGAATGAATGATTGTGTCAGATCCTGTCGGATGATTCCACTGGTAAAGACAGATCTTTATTATTGATTTATCAACGACCTGCATTCACACTTAGTCTTAACATTCTGTTGTTTTCCCTATTAGCACCATGGGTCCTTCAAAATGAGGCTCTACGAGCATTCAGACATGGGTGGCAGGATGATGGAGCTCATGGATGATTGCCCCAATCTCATGGATCGCTTCAACATGTCCGACTTCCATTCCTGTCATGTGATGGATGGGCATTGGCTCGTGTATGAGCAGCCCAACTATACGGGCAGGCAGTTCTACCTGAGGCCTGGCGAGTACAGGAGTTACAATGACTGGGGTGGTGTGACTTCCAGGATGGGCTCCATTAGACGAATCACGGATCTCTAATGAAAGGAGTCCTTGTGAAATGTCTCCTGTATGCCCTTTTTCACACACTAAATAAAATGGTGTCTGTGCTCAAGTGTTTTGAGTTTTGTTCTTGCACCTTTAACCTGGAGGGGTCATTACCAGATGATGACACTTGCTATTGGCTGCCAGACTGCTTTATGCTGTTCAGAGAACTGAATAAAATTAGAGAGATATTTCCTTCTATGAGACAGGTGTTGAGTGTTCTCTCTGCTTGTGCTGTATACTAAAATGCATTAATAGTGGATAACTAATCAAAAATTAGTGTGCAAAACAAGTTATAAAAATAATACTGGCTCAATATGACAAAAATATGTGACATAAAAGCCCCTAAGCAAGACACTTAGGGCCAGATTTTACCGCTAACACAAGCCTTTTTTGTAAAAAAAAAAAATTCAATAAAAACTGGTGTCAGAATTTACTGAGGGAAAAGTCATGGATACTGTAATGGCAAATAATTTTCTTCTCGTTCACAAGGAATACATTTTAATGTGAAGACTGAAATTGAATAACGTCAGACAAAGTTTGTCTTTTAATTGCTTTAATTCACCTGAGAATGATCAGTTTACAAACAGACAACCTTGTGAGCAAAAGGATCCCAAGTATGGCTTTACAGGACTATTTAAAGACAATGTTACAATGTTTTAAATAATAAAATCTCTACAGCTCCTTAACTCTTAACAACCAGTAGATTACACATGGCTGTAATAGCGCAATGATGATAATGCATTCGATCTTTACTTTAGCAAAACCTTAATTCATAATATCATTATATAATTATCATTTTTCATCAATGTTAAACATTTCCATCGCAAGACAGGGATTTTGTGGATGACCTTAATGCACATACATTTGTTTGAGTTGGCCATCATGAAAATGAACTGCTGTGTCTGTGTGCATCAATTTGTGCATTGTCAATAGATACCTCATATTATATTTTCATTCTTATCTGCACTTTTATGGGATTGTGGTCTCATGCAAATATGCTTGATTAGTAATTATGGCCCTTAACCTCCAGAGGATTCCAGGGTAATAAATATATACTAGTACAATTTATTACTTTTTGGGTATGTTACTTTAGTTTAAGTAACAACTCTCACTTTTAACTAGTGGCTCATCACCTGCCTATTATTAAAGGTGTAATTCACTCAAGATTGAAAATGTACTAACTATTTACTCACCCTGAAGTGGTTCCAAAAATATATGAGTTTTTTCTGTTAAACCTAATTAAACATATTTTGAAGAAAACTGAAAACCTGTAAACATTGACTACCATAGTATAAAAAACTGTTACTACAGATGTCAGTGCAGCTTCTCCACAAGCATTCTCCAGCCCCTGGTGCCTAGACCAGAGCTCGCACAAGAAGTTTTTTGTAACACTTTATTTTGATGGTCCATTTGAGTATTGGTAGACTGTCTTCTTAATATCTATTGATACTGTTCCTCATCAGACATTTAACTGACTATAAAAAACATGTCAACTCATACTAACCCCAGCCTAACAGTATACTTGCAATCTAATGAGAATTAGTTGGCATGTAGATGCAATGTAACTTAAATTCAACAAACGGACCATCAAAATAAAGTGTGACCATTTTTTTCCCTTTACTCCGTCGATAGGTGAAGTTTGTTCCTCGCCATGGTTGCCACTAGCTCACTTGGTTTGGGACTTGTGGAGGGGCATATCAATAGATTAGCTCTTCAGTGTTTGGAATTACAACTGTGAAAATTAAACCAAACTGAACTGAACTGAACTAAACTGGTCTTCAGGGTGAGTAAATTATGATGGAATTTACATTTACATTTACTATCCCTTTCGAAATCCCTTTTGAAACTGGCTATTTATTAGTACTTAAAATGTACATGTTCTGTGTCTTCTACATTGCTAATACTACCTAATACCTAAACTTACCAATAGTTTGGAGTTTATTGAGGTAAAGTTCAAAGTCAATGATTATTAATAGTGGGAATTGTACCTTAAAATAAAGTGTGGACCAATTTTGCCTTACTAACTCCCTCCAGCCCGCAACAACATTTTGTAATAAATAACTTGCATTTAAAATAAACCTTTAACATAAGGCGTGTAAATATCAGAAACAGTGACATAAAATAAGAGTTAAACTCTGTTAAATTTAATAATAAGTTTTAATTAATTAAATTATTAAATTACATTAATCATTTTTATAAGATCCAAATATCACAAAACCATATTGTAAATATAAATATTGGTTCTAGATATTATTTTGTGTCAATTTCAACTTACAAAACTTGTATTTATCTATGACTATGTTGTCCAAAATGACAGTATTTACAAACAAAAGACGCACTATAACAAAACTAAATGCTAAAAAAGCATTTTTTTATAATTATAATATGAATGACACACACAGAGTCGACACTTCATGTCAACTATATATGCACTAAAGAGAGTCCTCGAAGTAAAGAGCAGCACACTCGCATTGGAACAACTCCTGTCAAAATGGGGAAGGTAAAGCAATACTGTGAGGAAAGGGAAGAAGCTTGTAAAAATATTAAGCTGTAACATTAAAAGATGTTTACAGTTTTACTGTAAATTGTGCTTCTTTTTTTACCAGATCATTTTCTACGAAGACAAACATTTTGGGGGTCATCAGTATGAATGCATTGATGACTGTGCAGATATGCTTTGCTATCTTCACCGCTGTAATTCTATCAAGGTGGAGAGTGGATGCTTCATGATCTATGAACAACCCCATTACAAAGGCCATCAGTTCCTCGTCCGTAAAGGAGACTACCCAGAGTTTGAAAGCTGGTTGGGTAAAAATGACTCCGTCTGCTCCTGCCATGTTATTCCTATGGTAATTATACTATACAACGGTACCATACTATACTACATGCTTGATTAGTCTACATTAAAATAAATTCCAATATACTATTCTTTATCTATTTCATGAAGTTTGATCTAAAAGTGGGTAAACGGTTGTTGACACAATGATTTATGCAAACCTTTTGTTCTTCTGTCTGTCAGATAGAGGGATCGTCCCATGAGGTCAAGCTCTTTGAGAGAATGGAGTATGGTGGTCAAATGATGGCTCTTGCGGACGACTGTCCCAATGTGATGGATATGTTCCAAATAAACCATGTGTACTCCTGCAAGGTGTCTGGGGGAAGCTGGCTCTTCTTTGAGCAATCCAACTATAAAGGCAGGATGTACCTCATACGGCCTGGAGATTACACCAGATTTACTGAATGGGGTGGCATAAATGCCCGTGTGGGTTCCATCAAACGAATAATGAATTACTAATCAACAATCATATTTTAATTCATTGCTTATTTTATGTTTATTATGTGTATTTATCTTATATGATAAAATGAATATGAATTATAAAATGTAACTTAGTTCTTGCATATTTTGCTTGTCAGTAAAAGGATAATTAAATAAGGTGATAATTTTCTCACTCTGAAAACATTTATGTACATAACATTTTTTTCATTAGAATATTAAAGAAGATTTTTAGTGATGACACTGTTTGTTTACCATGTCAACAAGACTATATGTTGTAGTGTTTATTGGTACATATGCTTATTATGGATGCTGGAATATGCTCTTACAGTATGAATTAAATGCCCAAAAAGATTTTTGATAAAAAAATGTGTATTAATTCTTTCAGTATATTTTGCTTATGCGATGTTCACATAAACGACAATCACACAGTGTGAATTTTCAAAAACATGATCAGAGAGAATCACCGATGGGTGGCTGATGACTGTGAAATATTGTACACATTAAATATCTGGACTTGTCAATGATTCAAAGTCATGCTGTGTGAATAAGCTTGTTTGAGATGTGCCTCCTCTCGCCTGAAATGTAGATGAGTGTAGGTGGCTGCAGTAAGGGAAGGACTTAAAAAAGACTCTTAGACTGTGTCCGAAAACACATACTTCCATACTATATAGTACGCTAAAAACAGTATGCCATCCAAGTATGTCCAAATTCATATGCTGCGACCCAATTCGCATACTTATACTACGCCCTAAAAGTATGTACTTTTTTTGTAAAGAAAAAGTATATACTTTTGATTGTGTAGCAGAAAATGATTGAGCTTTGGGAAAAGTAGCCTACTACTTCCTCATTAACAGATCATTATGTTGCTTAGCTACGAGCCCTGTCAATCATCCACACATTATCCACATTTATGTCATCGATTTTCTACCTTATTGGAGATGCAGCAGCAGGATAATCATAGTCATTCGTGAGTCTTTCATGCAGAGAAATCTCAGGTGTTTGGGTAATTATGCTTTCAGACGTTAATGTCCAAACATGTATTTATAGATGCTCACATTGTTGTTGCAGATGAAATCTAACACGGAAAACACGATGAACCATGTTCCAGTGGGCTAGATATTAATTAACAGTCACACAAACATCTTTGCTGAAGCCTCTCCACTTGACAACTGGTCTTGTGCGTCCACCATATTTGTAGTTTATTCACACTTTTCACCCGCATTTGTAGTTCTAAACAAATTAACGTCCAACGTGCAATGTATTGTCTGCAATATCAGCGGTTAGAGTTTGGAGAGTTTTACACTTTGAATTTTTACTGGATATAGTAAACCACCCAGGAAACTTTGACATACTCTTTTCAAAATACTACGGATTAGGACATACAAATTCTATTTTCAAATACTATTTAGGACGGATAGTATGCAAATTGGCACGCATCAATAGAATTTTTAAAACAGTATGTACTGTACCGGGATGACCTACTACTTCTGTTGAGATTCTGAAGTGTGCATCCAATATTGCTTCGCGAAAGAATTCATGAATTGGAGTGAAACTACACATTACGGGTGGGTCACATAATGATGACAAAATGGCAGATGTAGTACGTCTGAGTTCAATTCATACTGCTCACATTCATACTGTATAGAACATACAGTAGTACCTGCAGAGTAGTTTGCGATTTTGGACACAGCCTTCAAATCAGACACTTCCTGAATGTCGCTGTTTTGTTGCCTGCAAAAATCACCACTGCAGGAGATCACTTTATTGCGGATGAATGACCAGATAAAAATACTAAAGTAATTGAAGTCTTTTTTAAATATTGGGTTGTTTATAGTTGTTGTGTTACCAAAGTAACTAAATTAATCCATATAATTTAAGCACTTTTTAAAAGTATGGATCGAAAACTCTATAGTATTACTTTAAATTACTATAGTAGCTTTTTAATTATAGGAGTGGATGCAATTGAAATATCAGTTTTTATGAGAAGATGGTCACATTCACAGAAGTTGAACAGTTCATTACCTAAAATGGTGCATTTGATTTAACATAAATCTGTAACAATGGTAAATGTAAAAATATACAGATTACACAGCAAGAAAGGTTTTAGATTCTAGAAAAATAATTATATTATAAATTAAGTAAATGGCAAGTTGCTTTTAAGTGACACAGTTCATAATAAATCCAAAATCAATCAAAGAGTGCTTCAGCGGTATATTGTGTTGGTGTTTTTTGGATAATAGATTCATAAACACAAACAACACAATCCAAGGCACCTAAAAGTAAGTTAAAAAGTCTTTATTAACATGGCTATTATAAAAAAAAATAAAAAAACAGCCAACAGCCAACTATATAAATAAATAACAATAGCCATTAAAAAATACTTTTTAACTTTTTTACTTACATTTCAAGTGCTCTGGACGTCTGAATTTGTGGGTCAAAAAAAGAAATGTTTGTTTTTTTGCTAGGAATGTCCCTAGACTTATTCATTTTATTGAACAAGTGGACCACCTTTATAGTAATTTCGTACTTTCTAGAGAGCATGTGAAGATATGTATAGGGTACAGTTGTCAAAATGAATTAACACTCTTGTTAAATAAAATATATATATTTGCATCAAATTTGTAAAAGTGTTTAAAAGAGATATTTTTCCAACACATTTTAAACTTAAACTTTTAAACTTATATATATATATATATTTTTTTTTTTTTTTTCTAATAATTCATTTATTTTGTCTCTGCCATGGTAACAGTGCATAATATGTTATTTTGCAAGATACTAGACAATGTAAAACCCAACAGTCAACTTTATCAAATGAAATGAGTGTAGTTAACTTAAAATGTACTGAAAGTTAATTCTACTCATTTGAAAAGTGTTTTGAACTCAGTGTTGAAGGTAATAAGTAATTAAATAATTTGTTGCTTCAACTTAAATGAAGTAAGTTCACAGTACTAATAGATCTTTTTTTTTTTTTTTTAACTCAAATGGTTTGTTGCAATCGGCTTCCTCAAAGGGTTTGAGTTGCCTTAACTTATTGGGTTTAACTGTAATGAGATTGTTTGAGTTCTATTTATTTATTGGGTTTTACTGAACTCAAATTGCTTTGTTTACTCAACTGGATTAAGTTCAGAGCACTCATTAGGATTAGTTTTTGAACCTAAATTTTTTTTGCATTCGGTTTCCTCAAACGATTTGAGTTACCTTACCTTTTTAGGGTTTACAGTGTAGTGTTCAGGGTAAAGTGTAAGTTAAAGACTTATTATGTTAAAATAAAGATAGAAATGTTCTTGAAACTTGAAAATGAACACATTTTTCACTTTTATGTTTACTTCTAATTTTAGTTTGGCCGCAATGACAGATATCATAGACTAATGTCACAGCTCTTATTCAGACCATTCACTGCTGTATTCAGTATAAGATCTGTTGCTTTTGCATAGATTCATTGTGCTGATTGCAGCCAGATTGAAACCATCCTGTGCATTGTGATGAATATGGAAAAACTGCAGCAGGGGCGAGTCAAACATAGTCAGACTGTTTCATTGCCCCATCCCACCCCCCTTTTCTAAACCCTATTTCTACTCCCTGGGCTAGATTTATTTGAATGACAATACTTTATGCTGTGCAATCACAGAGCTGCTTTTAGGTTTTATAAAAGACAGTGATAAACTGGATGCCAGCGTTGAGCAGTAGCCCTGCCAGTTGCCAACATGGCTATCGGAAAGGTAAGATGGCATCTCTGCCTATCACAGCCTAATGATTTGAGTTCAAATAATGCATAGTAGATTTACTGTACCTTTTATTTTTACACAGATCATCTTCTTTGAGGACAGGAACTTTCAGGGGCGCCATCATGAGTGCAGCAGTGATTCTGCAGACCTGCACCCCTACTTTACCCAATGCAACTCCATCAGGGTAGAAAGTGGGTGCTTCATGGTGTATGAGCACCCAAATTATATGGGACAGCAGTTCTTCCTGCGGAGGGGTGACTATTCGGACTGCCAGCGTATGATTGGGTTTAGCAACAGCATCAGATCATGCCGTTTGATCCCCATGGTAAGAGGTTCATGGAAATATTTCACTCGAATAAATGCTGGGTTGCTGTAACCCATGGTTGGGTCAAATATAGACAAACCCAACCATTAGTTGTCATTTAAATTTAAGTAAAAAAAAAAATCATATTTGACAACTCATCCTTTTTTTAGAATGTAATCACCAAACATAACCACACACTAGTTCATGAATTAAAGTAAATATCATATTAAAATATATTGATATCTTGCCACTTGCCAATGATAGATGCATTGCATGTTTTTTCGCAGTATAATGGTAACTACAAAATGAGGCTATATGACCAGGCTGACATGGGAGGTCAGATGATAGAAGTCACCGAAGACTGCCCTAACATCATGGATCGCTTCCATACATCTGACATCCATTCCTGTCAAGTGATGGACGGCCACTGGCTCCTATATGAGCAGCCCAACTACAGGGGACGAATGTATTACCTTGGACCAGGTGAATACAGAAAGTACAGCGACTGGGGCGGAATGGCCCCAAGAATTGGATCTCTCAGGAGAATAACCTCTTTTAACTAGATGACATCAACTGTGCAACAACATAAGCACTGAATAAATTCTCTTGACTGAAACATTTGCGTGTCTGGTTACTTTTTATGAGTTTTCATGTGAAATATAGAAAAAGAAATTCAAATGATCCAATTTATAACTAATCATAAAGGTAATTTATACACTTAAGGACCAATTAATGACCTTTGCCCCATATGCTTACCCAAATGGGAAAACATTGACTGAAGAATTTGTTAAAGCAAAACTCACACAATTCAATTGGCTGAACAATGTGGTGCTCAATCTGGATTTACTGTCCTCATTGTAGTTAAGTCTATCAATGGCATGGTTCTCAAATACAAAAGCAACCTTACTATTTAAAGGGACTTTGACCACAGAGAAATTTGAGGACATTTTTTTAATCCACATTCATGGCATTGTTGGTACACAGTGCCTATGAATTACCAAATTCATACAATTGTTTTTTAATTATAAGCCATCCTGATGATTTGCTGCTTTAAAGTGTGAAGATGAATAAGAACACAATCAAAATCAAAGAAGACAATCAGAATTAAATCATTCTGGATTTAGAGTGAAAGTAAGTGATTTTGTAATTTAAACTAGTGGGTAAATGTACATTTCTGAACATTTGTTTTATTTGTTCTTTTGAAATATAATCCAGATGGCATAAATGTAAACAAAAATGTGACTTAAAATAATTATTTTTATTGTTTAAATATGATGAACCTGTCTACTAGACTGTAAAAAAAAATCCTGGTTGCCTAACATTTTAAAGCTAAACCAAATGAACCTTAATGAGTCCATTGAACTTATATTATGTTAAACAGACATAAAGCAGCTTGCATAACTTACAAATAATTTCTACAGTGTACTTTAGCTACATTGTTTGTATATTCAGCTATAAAATAAAATTAGAGGCAACCTGAACATTTGACATTAGTATATTTATCAAGTAAGGGTTTGAGTAATATGTTAATATTTGTTTTATTCCGTAAAGGACTGTTAATATTCCTAAAAACTATAACTAAAAAACATCTTAAAACATTGGAATTGTGTTATCTTTTTTATTTTATTAACTATTTTAACCAACTGTAATGTTCTGCTATAAATGAAAGTATTTTGATTTTAATATTAGGATCGTCACCGGTTCTTTGAAGAACAAAACAGAAATTATGTTTTACTCACACAAATAAACTGTAGGATCAGAGAAATTAATTGTTTGATAATTTTACAGTGGTTTCCAGTATATTTAATTTATATACATGTTTATATGATGTATAGCTAGGTTTGTCAATCATTTGTCATGTTGTGTAACTGATGATATTATTTTGAGGACATATAAATAAACTGTTGTTTATGATGTCGCAAAAATAAGGCTTCAAGGCCCTTTAACATCAAAAAGTGGTTAAACTAAGTGAAAGTTTACTGGAATGTTCAGTTTTACCATAGTACTTCTGTCGTTTTAAATAATTGGGTTGTTTACATTCACATGTACAAGACTTTGATATAATAAATAGTTTGCTTTAAATGTACAATTTTAATGATGCTTCATCCACAGAATCAATAAGAAAGTGAAAACATCTTTCACAAATCACAAAAAAATAACCACAAAGCAAAACCTTTTTGTATTTCCAAGGCACAATTTAAATAAAAATATAATTATTTAGGCTGTTTACTGGCCTTTAGCTTGTTGATAATATTGCACGAGTCCAACTAGGAGTGTAACTAAACCAGAGCTTTAACAGTGCTTGTAGTTTTGCATTTGAGTATCAGGGGCAATACTTACACATAACAATTGCATTTATTACAACCAAAACACAGCTATGGTAATTATTCACAGTGCTGTATGTTTTTTGTTGTTGTAATTTAGTTCAGTTCAGTATGTACCTGCAGTTGAAAATCCTATTGAGAATGGTATTTCAGTAACTGCTCCCTCTGTTGAACAACTTCTTTAATGCAAAAGGGATGTTCTGTATTGTTCTGTGTGCATTGTGGAGTGAATGTGTGGCTGCCGTACCAGTCCTTTCCCTGGACCATGCAAGAAAAAACTCCAAACATGTAATTATATATCCTTTTTCAAGTAAAATCCATATTTTTCAACACAATATTGTGCTCTAACAAAAAGGTAAACATGTGCCAGTACCCTGACATATACTTGTGTTCATTTGAATGACAATACTTTGTTTGTCAAGAGGAAGTATAAAAAGCTTGGGAAGCATATGGAATCTCTCCAACGGAGACCATGGGCAAGGTAGGATTTTTGGCACCACTTTCACAACATTTACTTTGAATTGCACCTCCCCTATGTGTGTTTACCTTACTCTCCTAATCACTGTCCTGAAATAAAGTGATGATTCTGTTCACTTTTTCAGATTGTTTTTTACGAGGACAAAAATTTCCAAGGTCGTAGTTATGAGTGCAGCAATGACTGCACAGACCTACACATTTACTTCAGTCGCTGCAACTCCATCAGAGTAGAGAGTGGCTGTTTCATGATCTATGAACGTCCAAATTATATGGGCCACCAGTATTTTATGAAGCGAGGAGATTATTCTGACTACCAGAGATGGATGGGTTTCAGTAGCTCTATTCGATCCTGCCGAACAATTCCAATGGTGAGCATTTTATTGTATATGCTGCTACATACATTTATTCTTTAATGGCAGTGTACTGAATTCTTATTTTTTTGCGTCTTGATGTCAACAGTACAGGGGTCCATATAGACTGAGGATCTATGAAAAGGCTGACTATGGAGGCCATATGATGGAGTTCATGGACGACTGCCCCTGTGTGTCTGATCGTTTCCACCATCGACATGTGTACTCCTGTAACGTGATGAACGGCTACTGGATCTTTTATGAATATCCCAACTACAAAGGGAGGCAGTACTTCCTGAAATCTGGGGAATACAGGAGATACAGGGACTGGTGTGCCACGTGTGCAACTGTGGGCTCTTTCAGACGAGTCACAGATTTCTAGCCATTCTTCTTGCACTTATTTTTATGAACTGTTTATTTCCTGTTTATAAGCATAACTGTTTATAAACAGCTTGATTTTTCACTTATTGTGCCTGGATATATATATAAAAAAACAGACGAATAAAATGATATTTGTAATAATAAAGCACTCTGATTTGACTGAATTCACAGCACTAGATCAACCTCTAATTATACTTATGAAATGTATGTTATACTCTAGCATGCAGAGCATTTGTTTCCACAATTCTGACATCTAAACCTGCCTTACTATAAAAAAACTACATTTAAACTAAAAGAGTATCCCAAAACTTATATGAAGTACTTCTAGAATTTTTTGTTCATGTAAAAGTACTGATATCAATAGTTAGTTGAGTAAGAAATTATCGAATCAAATCAGTAGAAATCCAAAATTAGAGGACAACATGCAATCATGATACTGCTTAGACCCAGATAAATTTTTTTTAGTCAACCAGTAGGCTAGTCATTCATTGAAGCTGTTAGTCATCTAATAGCCCATTTATTAAATCAATTCATTATCAAATATTGAGCAATTACATGGAAAAGAATTTGAGTTTAAGAGCTGAGAAAGAATGTAATTTGTAAAATTGTTTTGTGTTGTACAGAAATAATTATATAATAAGTGTTAAAAATCAACATTAAGAACTTGTGCACACTTAAAATGGCACCGACAAGTTATATGATAAGGAATGTATAGGGAAAAAATCAGGCATTAAACTTTGCTGAATTTTAATATTTGTTAATAAAATAAAAGGTTAGCATTTACAGAAATGACAACTTATGAACATGCTAACAAAAAACATACTGTTTGGCAAAAAACAATTAAAAGAAACAAATATATCACACAAATAATGCACAAATAAGTGCAACTTTGATAGTCTAGTAGGCAAGCAGGAAATGCAAACAATTTAATTGAAGTAGTAAAAAAAGTCTTTCCATAGTGGTTGAATATTTTTGTAAGTCAAATATATAAACAAACTTAATTAAACACAACAAATATACAGCGAATCGAAAGGGTTTGAGAGAAATTATATTGAAAACTGCGATCATAGTCAACCCAAAGGACAAGCCTTGAAATCAAACACTGAATGAAAAAACTTAACAAAACACTGTTTTTGGACAATAATAACTGCCACTAGGCCTTGGCATGAGTCTTCAAATGAAACACTATATATAAAACAAGTTTTACTTTTAATAAGTTCTCAAACAAAAAAAAAATGTATATATTATTTATTATTATAGAAGATATGGGTATTACAACTGACCGTTATAATAAACTCATGTTTATTCAAGTATCGCGTTTACAATGTAGATTGTGTCAAAGCAGCTTAACATATAAGTTCCAGTAAATTAAAAATGTGTGTCCAGTTTTCAGAGTTGAAGTTCAATTTAGTTCAGCTCAGTGTGGTTTACTTTTTACAGGTGAAAGTCCAAACACTGAAAAACAAATCCCAGTGATTTCCCAGTGATGTGGTGTAAATAGAAAATAGTAGGGGACCAAGAATAGATCCCTGTGGTACTCCAGTGGCCAGTTGATAAGCTTTGGATACCTCTTCACTGCAGGAAACTGGGAATGATCTGCCGGTGATGTAAAACTCCAATCAGCAGAGCGGGGTTCCATTGATGCCCATTGAGGGGAGGGTGGACAGTACAATCTGGTGACTCACTGTATTAAATGCAGCAGACAGGTCCAGTAAATGCAGAATGGATAATTTACAATTTGAAATTTTGGCAATCCACAGAGCTTCAGTGGCTGAAAGTAGTGCAGTCTCTACATCCAGTCAGTTATTGTAAGATAAAGGAAATTTGGTCAAAAACAACTCTTTCCTTTTTTGCCAATGAAAGGAAGGAGAGGGACTAGTCTGTAGTTTTCAACCAATCAGGATTTTTATGGAGAGAATTTCAAAGAGCAACCTTGGGCCGGCGGGGATCTGCTTCGGGGACCACAGGATTTCATCAATTCGCAGACAATGTTGCTCTGTTGACTTCGTTGAACATGGACATTCAGCATGCACTCTGCAATTTTTTTAGCCGAGTGTAACATGGCTGGGATGAGAATCAGCACCTCCAAGTCTGAGGCCATGGTGCAAATAAAGGTGGTTTGCCATCTCCAGGTTGAAAGAAAGTTTTTACCCCAGGTGGAGGAGTTTAAGTATCTTAGGGTTTTGTTCATGAGTGAGGGAACCGAGCTAGCAAAATTCATGTGGCTCAAATCCGGTCCACACCAGCAACTTAAATCTGGCCCACATACTGCATGAAATGATGGTACTTGGGCGGTCTACTCCTGTTTGCCAGCTCTGGGCCACAATTAAGCCATAGCAATATCCCATATCAGCTAGAATTCAACCAAATGAACGAGAACTGCCCCTATTCTGGGCGACAGTTTGCTTTTTTTTTGGCCCAGATCCTGCCACACTTACATCTGGACCCGATACTGAATGGAATGATGACTCTAGAGCGGTCCGCTGATGTTTGTCAGATCTGGGCCACAAATAAGCCCAAGCAATACCACGTATTAGCCAGAATTTAACCAAATGAACCAGAACTGACCCTATTCTAGGCAACAATTAGCTTTTTCTGGCTAAGATCTCACCTACACTTTCAGGTTCAGGGCTAAGAGCCCAACTAAAGCAAACACTTTTCTCCATGATGGTGACATTAGTCTATGTGGTGCACATTTGTTTAGGATAACTGGGCCACATTGGCCATATCTTCTCTGGGCCACTATAGGCTCAAATCCACATTTGCCATAGCTTACTGTGCCGAATGTTCACCAAAAGTGGCCCACATGTGTTTTAAGATAATGGGCCACATTTTCCATATCTTCTCTGGGCCACTATAAGCTAACAGTTGCATTAGCCAGAGTTTACTGTGCGAATATTTGCCAAAAGTGGCCCACATATGTTTTAAAATAACTGGGCCACATTTGAAAATGTTTGGGCCACATTAGGCTTACAGCCACAATAGCCAGAGGTTACTATGCCAAATATTTGCCAAAACATATGTCTTAAAATAACTCTACCACATTTGCACTTACATGTGTGAGCCACTTTTGGTTTAGACTTAGATAACCCCTAAATGACTAGGCCACATTTTTGCTAACTCACATTTGTCCTCCATCATTTGGGCCAAATTTATCATTTTTCACATGGGACACATTAGGCTCACATTCAGATTACATTTTGCCATAAGTGGCAAATCTTTGCCTTAAATGGCCCATATATGAATTTGAATCTTTGTCCTCCCTTTCCCATTGTACAGGTGGGCCACTTCAGGCTCACATGCATACATCTGGGCCGAAGGAAGACCACCAGTGCCGCATAACTGCCTAAAGTGGTCCACATTTGTATGCTGTGGCGAGGGGGCGTGGCCGAGAGCCGTGGGAACGGGGTGAGGCCACCGCGTAAGTGGATACACGTGCGGTGCGCACCTGCCTCGGATCCCACGGAAGGAGCTCTGGACAATAAAGGGAGGACCGATGGCAGAGGAAGCCGGGAGAGGACCGGGCCCGGGCATATTGTTTTACTTTTGCTTTCAGTTTGACGGCAGTCTCCGCGAGGAGCTGCCGTCCGTTTGTATTGGTTTAAATGGCAGTCTCCGTGAGGAGCTGCCGTCATTATTATTAATAAATATTTTAAACCTGCGTCGGTTCTCCGCCTCCTTTTTCCCGGCGGCCAAAGGGCCGTAAACTTCATTACAGTGGTGCCGAAACCCGGGAGAAGGAGGGACGCGTTGTCCAGATGCCCTCGCCGCTGAGAGAGGGGGCGATTGTTCGGGAGTTAACCCGAGTGGGGGAGAAACCCGTTCGTCTGCCCAGAGTGCCGGGGCGGCCTGAGGCTGGCAAGGAAAGGATCTGCCTGCTGCCGTCTCCCAGCATGGGGAGGAGCAGGGGACGCGGGGCTCACCACCGGAAGGGAAAGAGCTGAAGGGAGCCATCCCACAGAACCCGGGGGAGTCGCCGCGATCCGCCATGATGCCAGAGCCTGCATCCATCCACCGAAGCGGGAGCGGAGCAGGAGAACAGAGATGCCACCAGCCAGCCAGGAGAACCACCGCCGGACGCCAGAAGACGGACGGGTGGATAGATTCCTCCACAGGGCTCCCAGCACGTCGTCGCATCTCTTAGCTGGTGGAGGACCGAGTGGCAGCGTGTCTGGAGAACCGAACCCCAATTTTTTATTTTTTTTTCCTCTCTCCCCTTTCTCGGTCTACTCTGTCTTTCCTCCTTTTTTTTTCCATCTCCTTTTCTCTCGGCCCGTCTCATATAGGTCTCGCGGATGCTGTGGCGCCAAGACCCCCCCCGGAGTATGCACAGCCACGGGGTGCCCCCGGCCTGTGATGGGAGATGGGGGTATGTGGCGAGGGGGCGTGGCCGAGAGCCGTGGGAACGGGATGAGGCCACCGCGTAAGTGGATACACGTGCGGTGCGCACCTGCCTCGGATCCCACGGAAGGAGCTCTGGACAATAAAGGGAGGACCGATGGCAGAGGAAGCTGGGAGAGGACCGGGCCCGGGCATATTGTTTTACTTTTGCTTTCAGTTTGACGGCAGTCTCCGCGAGGAGCTGCCGTCCGTTTGTTTTGGTTTAAATGGCAATCTCCGTGAGGAGCTGCCGTCATTATTATTAATAAATATTTTAAACCTGCGTCGGTTCTCCGCCTCCTTTTTCCCGGCGGCCAAAGGGCCGTAAACTTCATTACATATGCTATATGGGAGGGATGGAACCTAAGATTGACAGGCGGATTGGTCCAGGGGCAGCAGTAATGCGGTCAATGTATCGGTCCGTTGTGGTAAAGAAGGAGCCAAATCATCAGCTAATAAAGAGGTGGTGGGGGTGGACAGAGTATTGAACTTCCTTTATAATTCCTGAAAGTATCTAAAGTGTTGTTAATGTTGTTAGCTTAGCATGGGGTTTTGGCCGAATTGAGTTGGGAGTCAAATCATGACAGCTGTGCTTGGTACCTGCTAAGGTCAGCAGGGGCTTTTGATTTAGGTCATGCTCTCTCTGTTGACCTGCGTGCTGTCAGATGTTCTCTCAGAAAATCAGAAAGCCAGTGGTTAGAGGAAGTAGGACACATTGGTCTGGTGGAGACAGGACAGATCTCATCTAAGTAGAAGAACAG